AACTTTGTAATGGAACTGTGAGTTGACAAACGAAATGGATGGATAATCCCATGAAATGATAAGAGACTTCAAGTGTTTTGATTAAGAAAAGCCTTTTTCGTCGCAAAAAATATACTTCCATTTTATTATATATCATTTCATCAGCAATTTAATAATAGTGACACATAATTGGAAGTTATCCATGCATGGAATGTAAGTTGTTTGCTTGTCATATATGCATTAATAACGAAAAGGCTTTTTAGTAAGATGCAAGTACACACAAGTAGAAAAGGAGGATTTTATTCACTAAGATAAGAGAAATAATTAAGAAATCATAAAGGAACAATACTAATATGCATATAAGGCAATAGAATGATTAAGAAAAGCAACAATACAATAAGGAAAACTGAATTTAACTTATAGAAAATACAACAAAATAGGAATGAGTAATTTCGGTTTAAAATGCGTCTATCATTTCATTCAAGACGCAATTCACCATGTGTTTTTCCCAATTAGATTCCGTCAGAAAAGCCTTGCTGCATACGGGGCAGTTGAATCAGCGCCTATCATTGTCATGAATCTTCATGTGACGTTTCATGTTATGTAATAGCGAGAATGCTTTATTGCACACAGAACAAGCGTGCGGTTTTTCATTAGTGTGAGTCCTCGAATGCCTAAGCTGACTCGATGAATCGGCGAAATTCATCCCACATTCCGAACAACTGTGCGGTATCTCACCGCTATGAATCCTCCTCATATGTTTATGCAAACTCCCTTTCTGGGTGAAATTCATCCCACAATTCGAACAATTGTACGGTTTCTCACCGGTATGAATCCTCATATGTTTATTCAAATTCGCTTTATCGGTGAAATTCCTCGTGCATTCCGGACAAGAAAACGACTTCTCACCGGTATGAGCCCTCATATGTTTATGCAAATTCCCTTTCTGGGTGAAATTCATCCCACACTTTGAACAATTGTACGGTTTCTCACCGGTATGAATCATCATATGCTTAAGCAAACTCCCTTTCTCGGTGAAATTCCTCGTGCATTCCGGACAAGAAAACGGCTTCTCATCGGTATGAGTACTCATATGCCTACGTAAATCCGATGGCGCAGTGAACCTCTTCGGGCATGTTTCGCATTTGAACCGCTTTTCACCTGCATGAGTTGAACGCTCAGG